TTTTTTTTTTTTTTTTTTTTTTGGCAACAATTAGGGAAGTTTGAACCCAGATTGGATTTTAGATGATATTAAGGAATTCTTGTTTATTGCATTAAGGGTAACAATGATTTTGTGGCTGTGTCAAAAGACAGAGGTCTTTATTTTTTAGAGACACACTAACTACATTTACTGGTAAAAATGTGGAATGTCTGGGATTTTAATTTTAAAATATTCCAGAAGGACCCAGGGAGGAGGAGTAGAAGAGAAGCCAACAATGGTGGGAAGGGAAACAGACAAACTGAAATTAGCGAACTGATAAAACCAGACAAGGATTAAGTGGGGGCTCACTATACTTTTCTCCCTTGGGTAACTTTTTAAAATTCCCATAATAAAACTTGTAAAAGATGAAAAATAGGGAAACCAGAGCCATGCTGAGCAAGACTGGGCGGGGGGGTGCCACGGCCGATGGGATATTAGCCCTTGAAAGTACTTGTGCACTGGGGTTTGACCTCTCGTACTCCCGGGAACCCTGTGACGGCTCCAGTGTGAGTGACCCCAAGCTAACCCGTTGGCACACATGCCCATCTCCCCATCCAATAGCAACACCCGCCCCCTGCCCCCTGCCGGCTGGCGCACGTGAGGACAGGCTCCACGGACTCCCGCCGTGAGAAACGGTACATCTTTGTGGCTCAAAGCCACCAAAGTCTGTGGCTGTTTGTTCTCGGCACAAGCTGGCTGATAAAATGCACACACTGAAAGGGGTGGGCAAAACTATTTTTCTTCCACTGCCGCTGCTTTATTAGTGAAAAATAACTGGTTTGTGGGGCGCCTGGGTGGCTCAGGCAGTCGAGCGTCTGACTCTTGGTTTCAACTCACATCACGATCTCACGGTTCTGCGAGATCGAGTCCCAACACTGGGCTCTTGTGCTGACGACATAGGTCCTGCTTGGGATTCCCTCTCTCCTCTCTCTCTGCCCTTCCCCTGCTCACATGCTTTCTCTCAAAATACCCACCCCCCACCCCCCAAAAAAATAGTAACTGGCCGTGTTCTCTGTCTGCATTTCCGCCAAGAGGCAGAACTTGGTAATGGATGGGCAGACAGGATGGGCTGCGATCCTCCCTCTGCCACACTCACTGGCTGTGCTGGGCCCGACGCACGCTGACCCTGAGCCACACCTCCTCTTTCACAGGAGGCTGTAAGGACTGCCCACCACCCAGATCTCTGAGAAATAATGTGCTCGCACAACGAAACCTCAGCAGATGCCCGCTCCCGGACGGCGCCTCCTTACCCGTCCACCAGCCCCTGCTGCTTAATGATCCTGTGTGACTCCTCCCTGGAGATGTGGCCGTGAAACCAGTGCTGTGTCCGATGAATCACTGTGGGAGGGAAGACAGAGGAGGGGAGGGTCCTGGCCCGTCCACAGAATGGCTCCCGTGAAGGCACAGCGCACTCGTGATCGGCGCGGGGGCCCGATGCCCACGGCTGCACAACTCGTGGTGCCCGCAGGGCCTGGAGGCTTGGAGAAGCTCGGGGGGTGGAGGTGGGGGAATGGGAGCTTTACGAGGAAAAGTCCCCGACCGGCATGCTGTGCTTACCCGTACTCAGGGTGGACGGCTGGAGGGGGCTTTGGCTGCTGAGGATATTCATCCGTGTGCTCCGTTTCTGCAGAAGAAATGCCCATGTTAGCGCTAAGACAGTGGACGGATGCAGCCCGACAGCCACTGAGGACACACACCTGGGGCGGGGAAGGATGACCACGGAGCAACAGCCACCTGCCACCCTCCGTGTCTGACCACCGTTGTTTTGTTTTTAATGTCTTTTATTCATTTTTGAGGGAGAGAGTGGGAGTGTGGGAGGGGCAGAGGATCTGAAGCGGGCTCTGGGCTGCCAGCACAGCCCGACACAGGGCTTGAACCCACAAACTGTGAGATCATGACCTGAGCCGAAGTCGCTCAACCGACGGAGACACCCAAGCAACCCCTGACCACAGTTTTAAAAACAGAAGCATCCCGGGGGATTCGGAAGGCACACGCAGTGAAATTCCTGGTAAGTTTTGGGAAAAAAAAAGCCTGAGCCACTGAACTCAGGCAGGCCTGGAAACACGGGCTCCGGAGAGTTCTCCACACGCTCTGAAGCTCAGGTTCACGGAACTTTCTGAGCCAGAGCGGCGGGTTCGTGGTTCACACGTTGTGTGTAAATCTTAGAAAGTCTGCAGTCAGGGTGATGTTCTGATTTCTGGAAGTCAGAACGTGAGCCTTCAAGGGAGGAGACCGTCCGGGGCCACGAAGCTGGTTAGTTGCCGAGCCACGATGTGCAATGTCTATCGGCCTCATTAGGGTGGGCTCCGTGCTGCCCACACATGGCCACAGACCGCCCACCAGCAAGAGCAGCTCCGAGCGGGACCCAAGAGGTCACAGGGCTCTGCTCCTGTCCCGCGCCTCCTCCGGGAGCCAGTGGGGCGCATGGGCGCTGGGGATGCGGAGGAGACCCCACGCGCCAACTGCTTACCCCCATCTGAGCCTCAGAGGCCGCCCTCCCCTCCCCTGACGACACCCCCAGAGAGGATCACTCTTTGGGGAGACCAGCGGGGTGTGCCACGCACAAGGGGGCCTGCCCTTACCCTCCAGGCGTGGCCTTCCTCCAGGGCTGCACTCTGGGCTTCGGCCGGGTTCTCGATCACTCTTCCTGTTTGCCCGGAAAAATCCATGGCCACGAGGGAGTTCTCAGAGACGCTGCGCTGGAAGGAAAGGGCAAGTTCCTACGACGTAGGGAAGGAGGCCTCAGCCGCACATGGGAACGCAACACCGTCCTAAAGGTGGCCAGGAAAGGGTGACAGCAATGTCCCGCCTCCCCACTCCAGGGTTCGGAAGTGGGGGGCACTCTGGAGCTAAGGACGGCTTTGGTTTCTCTTGAGGAGAAGGAGAAACGCTCCAGTCCCCTTGTGGCCTCTAATGACGCTGGTGAGGCTGCGGGTGCCAAAGAGCTTGGACTGCGGGGTCCCTCACAGGTGACCTGCCCGGACCAGGACACATCAAGGGGTGGGAATGCCGTGGGGAGCTCAGCCCTCAGCAGACACCAAGTCCTGATTCAGGGCGAGGCGCGGACCCCCCTGTGACCTACGACGTCTCCCAGGCACGGACCTGAAGGAGCTTTAAGATTGGGTTTGGAGAGGACCAAGTCGTTCCTGCACTTTGGGAAGCGGAGTATGTCCCGGGAACAAGGACGTTCACGATGATCTCTAGGTTCCCACCAGGGAAGGTTCTCGCATAACGGTCTACAGCACCCACGGGCGCCACGGCTGAACAGGGGTGAGAGCCGGACGTTGCCGGTGACAGTCTCTGACCGCTTGAACAGAGTCACCTCCCTGAACAGGCTTCAGGGGCATGCAGGATGGTGGAGGGGCGGGGGGGTCGGTCCCCAGCAGTCACGCTGCCGAGAAGACAAGATCCGCCTTCCGGGCAGGGGAACGGGTGGTGTAGACCAGCTTCCCTGAGATGCACGGGCTCGTTCTGGAGCTTTTCCAGGCAACCTCGCCTGAAACCATCTGGGTACAAAGCACTGTGATGCCTTCCGGAGACTCACCACTGGCGTGGAGAAGGAGGGGAGCAGGGGCTTCCGCTGTGGCGGGATCCTGTAGTTCTGGTACAGGAGCATCCCGTACTGCGGAGGAAAGGCCAGAGTTGGTCACAGGGGCCGCGTGAGCCCCACAAGCCCCGGAACGCGGCAAACCCATGGTGGTGAAGGGCAGTGCTGAGCGGTGCCCCAGCTGCCTCTGTGAGCCGACGGACACACGTGCAATGCGGCACACTGCCTGGGTCCTGCGTAACCGTCACCACCACCCATCCCCCACCCCCCAGACGCCAGTGGCTGACTGGCTCGCTCATGTTGTTGGGCAAGGGATAAGCAGGCAGTGACGATGTAATCAATTGAGAACAGTGAAGCCTACTGAATGCTGCTATGGGCCAAGTACGGTCCCAAAGGCTTTATGCTGCTGTCTCGTTCAAGACTCTCCCTTTTAGGGAATGTGTCCTCTGTCCCCGTCTGACAACAGATGTGAACAGGGAAGGGAGGCAAGTTGCTCAGGATCCCGGTAAAGTAAGGAATCTGGATTCGAAGGCACACAGCCTGTTCCCAACGGCGTTCTTCCCAAGCACCAGGCTCACTGCCCGACCGGCTCGCTGGGTCACGCTGCCTGTGCCCTGGCGAGAAGCAGGGTCCCCCACGCTTGCGGCCGCCCAGCCTACGCTCCAGTTCCCCGCTCCCACCACACAGACAAGGAAAAAGGGCAGGTGAGGACAAGGCTACCAAGAGGGCTGCACTTCCCTTCTGTGTCCTGCAGGCTGGGTGACGCGTTCCCAGCTCCAACCCTACAGTGTGTCTGTCCTCGGTTCCAGAATAAAAGTGCCGGATGGGGCGCCTGGGTGGCTCAGTCAGTTAAGCCTCCGACTCTCGATTTTGGCTCTGGTCATGACCTCACGGTGTGTGAGATCGAGCTGCGCATCAGGCTCTGCGCTAACAGTGCAGAACCCGACCGGGATTCTCTCTCTCTCCCTCTCTCTCTGCCCCTCCCCTGCTCGCACTACCTTTCTCTCTCAAAATAAACTTTAAAAAATTAAAAAAAAAAAAGAAATAAAAATAATTGAGGAGTCTCCCCTGGCCCGCCCCCCAACCAAATTTTTTTTAATGGAGAAGACAGGCTGGCAGGACGAAGTGAAAATAGTCAGTGGTGAATTTAAGCACAAATATTAATAATCAAAATGCTATGCTTCCCAACAAACACTCCAATGAGAACGTGAAGATTATCAGAGGAGAAAGACAATTATGTTATGTTTGTAACAGAGACAAGCTCTAAGTGTAAGGACCCGGAAAAGCAGCAGAGACGAGGGGAAGAGAAAAGCCGTGTGAACACTAAGCAGAAAACACTGAGGTAGCGAGAATAACGTCATATGGGTCAGATTTTGAGGCAGGAAGTCCTGATGCAGATAATAAAGCATAATAATTCGGAAGGACCAAAGAATCAATATGAAGAAGGCGTAAATTACTCTGACGTTGTCTGAGCTAATAACACGCACACGCGTGTGCATGTGCATATGTGTTTCTCTAAACGGATACGTGTGTGCAGTGTGCATGTACATGTATGTACGTATTAGTTTTGAACCCAGTAATTACACGAACGTGACAAACAGCAACTAAGCTAGAATTTAAGAGGCAGAGTTCTAGTCTGAAACACAGTTGAGAACGTTAAGCCTTAAAAAATGATCTAAGGATACCTTTCAAAACAGTATAAAAAGATCATGAAATTAAGGCCAAAGAAAGAAAACGTATGTTCTCTCTCTTCAGGAGGCCCCAACACTGCTCGCAGTTCCAATAATTCGCTGGAACGACTTCTCTTTGATTTATAGGTCTAACTAGTTTGTCTTTTTCTTATTTTTTTTTAATAATTAAAAAAAAATTTTTTTAAGAAACATGTTTTTAACGTTTATTTAGTCTTGAGAGAAAGAGACAGAGTGTGAGCGGGGAAGAGGCAGAGAGAGAGACACACAGAATCCAAAGCAGGCTCCAGGCTCCAGGCTCTGAGCTGTCAGCATAGAGCCCGATGCGGGGCTCGAACTTGCGGACCGCGAGATCATGACCTAAGCCGAAGTCACCAGTCAGACGCTGAGCTGCGCCACACAAGCGCCCTGGCTCCGACTTCTCGAATATGAAGCATCTGTGAGAAGCTTCGAGACCCTGTCCCGACAGACGTGCGGGCGCGCCAGGCTGCCAGGACGCTGGGAGGACTCGCCACGCACCTTGAGGAGCCTGCACGCCGTCATCCAGCAAGTTCTGCCCTGTTCGTCCTCGGCACACAGCAGCCGCAGCTCCTTCGTCTCGCTCCTGACTTTGTTGGGCTGAAGGAGGCAAGCGATGACCCGGTGAGCATTGACGCAGCGAGTGTGGAACGTGCCCGTGTGATGGCAGGGCTGTATGCACACGGCGGGCAGCGGCAGGAGGTGTCACCAGAGAGGGCGCCTCTGCCTGGCCCCCATCGCGCAGCTGAGGGCTCGGCCACCCTCCAACAGGGAGTCTCAGAGAACAGACATGGGACAGCAAATCTCCCAAGACAAGGCGGTGGCCGCAGGGACAAGGGGGCATCCTGCTCTGTGGAGGGAAGGCTGGATTTGACAGGTGAGCCCGGATGAAAAGATGTGCGGTGGCCAACCCGGAACACCGAGGTGGCAGCTGAGGAAGCGGCCCTGCAGGGCTCAGCCAGCGAGGGGAGAAGCCCCCGAGGGCATATCTGAGTGGCCCCACGGTCAGCCCAGAGAGTGAGGGTGGTGTCACCCCAGAGAAGGGGACTGGGGTAGATGAGCGGCCTGGGGTCGGCAGGGGGTCACCGTCACAGCTGCCACCGTGCAGGGACGGCAAGTGCACCCACGCAGAAGCAGGGCTTACCTGGCGATGGGGGCAACCGCTGCAGGTGCTAGCCGGGGGGAAGGGAGGGGCACCGACCACCTGAGTTCCAATGGACCCCCACCCCGCTGCAGCCCTCCCAGTGCCTCCCCCGCACCTCGGGCCCTAGGACTCCTACTACTTGCGACCCCAAGAAGCTTCACCGGGTGAAGCAGCAGCTGGTATTTTAGGGAGCAACGCGCCCCCTGCTCCCTGACCTCTCCTCGGGACGGCGTGGATATCTGGCTCAGAGGTCAGCCCAGCTGGGGGACTCCAGGCACACTCATGGCGACCGGACGTGAGCACCGGGGCTGGTGCAGGTCCTACCTGTGAGCACCTGGGAAGATGCAGTAAGACGGAGGGGGACCCTGAGCACAGCACCCAGTGCACAGCGAGTGTGCGGGAAACAGCGCTACCGTACGATGACCAACATCACCACTGCCTCACCAGGGGTGTGTGTGCATGTGCACATGTATGCTCATGCCTGCATGTGTACTTGTGTGTGCACAGTATCTGTATGTGTGTGCCTGTGTATTTGCATGTGCATATTGTGTATGAGTGTGCATGTGTGTTTGTGTGTGCATATACAGGTGTATGTATATGCATGTGTGTGCACGTGTATTTGTGCATACACATGTACACGTGTGTGTGCATATATCTGTATTCACGTAGGTGTGCGTGTGCATATTGTGTATGTGTGCATGTGTGTTTGTGTGTGCATATACAGGTGTACATATATGTATGTGTGCATGTATCTGTATTCATGTAGGTGTGCATGCGTGTGCATAGTACATGTGTGCACACGTGTGCCCATGTATTTGTGTGTGCATACTGTGTATGAGTGTGCATGTGTGTGTGTGCATATGCAGGTGTATGTATATGCATGTGTGTGCACGTGTACTTGTACATGTGCATGTGTGTGTGCATGTACCTGTATTCACATAGGTGTGCACGTGTGTGCATAATGTGTATGAGTGTGCATGTGTGTTTGTGTGTGCATATGTATGTATACATATATGCATGTGTGTGCATCTGTATTGATGATAGGTGTGCATGTGTGTGCGCACATGTATTTGTGTGTGCCTATGTACACGTGTGTGGATGTATCTGTATTCATATAGGTGTGCATGTGTATTTGTGCGTGCATATTGTGTATGAGTGTATGTATGTGTGCGTATGTATGTGTACATATATACATGTGTGTGCATCTCTGTATCGATGTAGGTGCGTGTGTGTGCACGTGTATTGTGTGTGCATGTCTGTGTTCCTGTAGGTGTGTGCATATGTGTATGTGCATCTGAGCGTATGTGTGTACCTCTGTGTGTTCCCATAGAGGTGTGTGTGCATACACATGTGGAAATATATGTGAATATGTCCTCTCACACACAGTGTCTTCTCACACACGTGCACAGAGGCAGGTCAGGGCTGTGGGCACACATACCATTCTGGTGACTGGAAGCTCATACAGAAAGTGTTGCCTCACTCGGTACCCTGGAGGCCACCCAAGTGATGGGCGGTGGGTCACTAAGCCACTGAGCCCATCGACTCGCATTATCCATCATATTCCCTACTTTTCTCTGAGCCGCTAGCTACCCAAGGATTGACACACCATAAGCACAGAGGGATGGATAAATCCACTGGGAACCTCTGTTTGTTAGAAAATAAACCAAAAACTCCCACCACCAAGGAAGGCATTTGTTGGCTAGTTCCCAAGTCTCCAGCGGGATGCCATCAGGGCGTGGCAGCCCCGGGACGGGACAGGGGTTTGGGGGTGTGGGGCGGGGGGGGGGGGTGGGAGAGGCAGGCTACCTTTATGCAGAAGCCATAGTCCGTGGGGGCGCAGTACTGCTTCCTGCCAGCGATCAGGGAGAATATGCTGCTGTCCTCCAAGCCCGCCAGCAGCTGCAGGTGTCTGGGCTCCTGGGAAAAAAAGGGTCGTCAGGTTGACAGGGGAGAACGTCTCAGGCACGGCCAAGAGCGAACGTTCTCACGTGCTCCTCAACAGAGGGCAGGCTGCGCACGCTCTCAATGCGGCTCTTTCCCCTCTGCCACTCTACAGACTGCAACCATCGTGTAAAGCAAGCGCTAAGTTAGGACCAAACCCACCCGGCCCTCGCCAAACAACCCCCTCCCCCACTTGGGGTCCCACCAGCCCCTACCCCTCCTGTATTAGCACGTATTAGGTTGGCGGCCGTCCTTACGGCCACCTTGGAGGCTAACTTCCAAACTATGGAAACTGAGGCAGCCTCTTCTGGGGACTCAGGCCGCTAAGGACGCTCTGCTCCCAAGCCACAGAGGGGGCCGGGGCTGGCCAGCCAGGGGCGCAGCGAGGGGGCGTTGCTGTCTGTGTTGTCACCTGGTTTCTGAGGGAGAAGAGCGGGCCAGGAGCTCGGAGTTCGCTTCACAAGTCAATACGAGCTTGGAGGGGCCTTGGGCACATTTTAAAGTGAAGCCATGTCCACTGCGAACCCTGCTGGCCTGGTGTGACGGAGGCGGTGGTGGCTTTAAACCTCACCTTTGGGGCGCCTGGGTGGCTCAGTCAGTCAAGTGTCTGACACTTGATCTCGGTTCAGGTCACGATCTCATGGTTTGTGAGTTTGGGCCCTGCACTGGGCTCTGCGCTGACAGTATGAAGCTTGCTTGGGATTCTCTCTCTCTCTCTCTCTCTGCCCCTCCGTCTCTCAAAAGAAACATTTAAAAGAAACAAACAAAAAAACCAACGAACTCACCTTTGACACTCCTTTAGTGGAGCAGTAGAGGCCTGATCTCCGCAAACACACGTACAGCTTTCGCCATGACTTCTTCCCCAGATCCTTCACGTGCAAGAACCCCTGAATTTCAGGACAGCTACTGCAGTTGAGAAAGTTCTGTGGAAGAAGTCAGGCAACGCTGCCACGGGAGAATTCGGGCAGATGTGTCCCACTGGCCTCCCTGACATCCCGACATCCTGTCAATCGGCACAACGCTCTTTTCTGGTCCGACCAAGCATTCGCAAAGGGCAGCTTCCCTTTCAAACACCAAAAAACCCCGCCTGACTGGCTGTGGCGGGAAACATAATTAGTATTGAAACACAATGGTAGCGAGCGGGCCTTTCCTTTCTACTTGGTGCCACCCGGAGAGCGTTGGCTGCCTTTGTGAGTGTTGTATTCTCTCACCTAATACGCTGTAGATTGACACATTTTGGGGGCACGGCGGCAATAACATTCGCTTTCCCGACTTCCCCGGAAGGACTGACCGGCCGTTGGTGCAGGGGCCCCGGGGACTCCCTGCACCGGGAAGGGGCTGCGGGAAGGCCAAGTTTTCTCGGAACAGACTTCAGGAGGCACAGGGGCAGTGAACAGGGACAAAAGCATGTATAACAAACAACACGCTAGCTTTCAAAGAGTTTTCTGGCAGCCCAGTCCTTTTCCACGGTGACATGGGCTCAGCAGGTCTGTAGAGATTCCCAGGGCGGTGGCCTGACCCGGGAGCCTCGAGGAGACGGCCAGCCGCGGCTTCTCACTCCTGCCCTCCCCCTCCCACCGCTTCTAATCCGGAGGGAGCTTATGTCTACGAGTGCTTGTTTCGCTTTGAGGGAGCTTGGCGGTGCACACGCTTCCCAGGGCAACATTCACGCTGGTTGCTCTGAGCGCCAGCAGGAGCCACGGCGAGCGGGGGTGACGAGCACAGCCCCGTCAAGGTCCTTAGAGCCGCTGCCACCACAGCGCAAGGGGACCTCCACCCAGACCCGCTCCGGTGAGCCTCTCCTTGCCCAGTACCTGCAACAGCTGGTTGTGACCGCCGTTGGGCTGCTGGCACCAAGTAACCATCTGTTCTGGGAAGAAATTCTAAGGAAACAGGAAAACAGTCGTGGTTAGCGGCAAAGTGGGGAGAAGCTTC